AAATCTGTATATTGAAGAAATATCAGGGAAGGGGATTGCTGCTTTTTCTCTGAATAATGTTGGTCCAGATTTATCTCTGAGACACATGCCATTATCAGTCAGAGAGGAATCAAGAAACTGGAAGCATTCAGAAACTGCCAGCCAGCAGAGAAGTTGGCACAAGGACCACCTTCAAGGACCCCTCCTTCAAGGACCACTTTGGAAAGACTCCACATGTGGCTTCAGGGTCCTGTTTTACAGGTTGGTATCTCTACCTGGCAGTACAGACTCTCATTTGACTGAAATCCTTCTAGCTGAAGTTTCTTCTTTTAGTAACCTCACTGAAGGCAGAGAAAGCGATTCATAGACTCACAGATAAAAGAGAGAGACAGAAAAAGACAACAGAGGCAGAGAGACAGAAATTTGTAAATCATCCATTCCTCACTCTAAACGCTAAGAAATTCTTAGGTTTGGGGGTGGACATGTCCAAAGACCAAGATGCAAACCAGCTAGCTCTCCCAGTGCCAGGGAACAACTGAGGCAGGGGAGCAGAAATTAAGGGTAGTGGTGAGGCCTTCAGGCAAATGCTCAACCCCTCCAAACAATGGTGCATTCCAGCTCTTGTGACTTTGTGATCCTACCCTGTGCTGTTCAAAGTCTTTTTTTTTAAATTGACTTCAGAGAGGAAGGGAGGGGGAGAGAGAGAGAAACATCAATGATGAGAGAGAATCATTGATTGGCTACATCCTGCACACCCCCTACTGGGAATTGAGTGCACAACCCAGGCATGTGCCCTTGACCAGAATCAAACCTGGGACCCTTTGGTCTGTAGGCCGACACTCTATCCACTGAGCCAATTATTAATATCCTAATAACTGTCAGATGAATACAAGATGCATTGGAATGATCACTTAGTAGGTGATATAATGTCTAATCACTGGGGTATAACCTGAATCTAATATAATATTGTATACTAACTTTAATTGAAAAGCAAAAGATAAATAAATAAATAAATAAATAAATAGAATTTATTCTAGAAGCAGAGTTCCATTAAAAAAAAAAAACCCAGCTGGTGCAGCTCAATGGTTGAGCGTCAACCTATCCTATGAACCAGAAAGTCACAGTTCGATTCCCAGTCAGGGCAAATGCTGGGGTTGTGCACTTAATCCCCAGTGTGGGGCATGCAGAAGGCAGCTAATCAATGATTCTCTCTCATCATAGATGTGTCTATCTTTCTCTCCCTCTCCATTCCTCTCTGAAATCAATAAAAATATATTTTAAAAAATAAATAAGTAAAAAATAAAACAATAAGAAAACCTTAAGCTGAGTAATAAAGGGTCATAAGAGTAAAAAGACTGTCACAGAGTTCAAAATAAGCAGCAATGGCCTCCTCTGGGGTGCTGAGTCAGAGGATGACTTGATTACAAAATTTAGCATGGATTCAGTCCAAACTATTTTTTTCCCTTTACTGCCCTCCATTTCTCTCCTGACAGGTCTTCTGGATAAAAAAAGTAAAGGTGTTTTTTGAGCATATTTCTAAGAAGAGTTGCCAGTTGGGGGCTCAACCTAAACTGGTTTCTAATGAGCAACAAGAAAGAGCTGAGGGGTAGCTAATTCTTTAAAGCAATTTTGTTTACTTGATGCGGTATTTTAG